TTCTACACTTCTTTTGTTCTATATATTCAATCAAATTATTTCCAAGTAAAAAGATATCGTAGAAAAGGTGTTAAAATTATAAAATTTGCAATATGTTATTTTTCGGGTCATGGCGAGCGCCGACGTTCGGCACTTCCTATAAAAATGAAATACCTTACGCATATCTATAGACTTAGGACTATCATGCCTGAAAGTTTCATGATTCTATCTAGAACCATTTCTTAGAAAGTCTGCGGACAACCTGACCCTTCAAAAATCATAAAATCGGCAATATCTCCGAACCGGAAGTGACGTCATCAAATCAAAAAAATATGTATCAGGTTCAAGTAATTTTACACAAGTCCTGAAAGTTTCATTAAAATCCATCAAGCCGTTTTTGAGAAATCGCGTGCACAGAATCGGTAAGAAAACTAGAGAAAAGCTCGTTGCAAAGCAACGAGAAGGTCTTCCGTCCTCTTTGACCGGAAGTAGTTTTCATTTTCAACGAAAATGAGAAATAACGCCCAAAAATTGGTTGAATCCTCAAAATCTATGTTAATTAGTGCAAAAATAAGCCATTTTTCGCTACTTCTGGTTTGACCGGAAGTGACGACGACGGACGGAAAATTAATTTTTATGTTCCCAGTGACATAAGATACCCAAAAACTTGTCAAGAATGGCCAAAATACGCGTTTTCTGACTACTTCCGGTTTGGCCGGAAGTGACGTCGTCGGACGTATTTTGACGACTTCAATAGATTAAGCTTGACATTTTTAACAAGTTTGCTTCTTTGACGTATTACAAATTCTCAATACTTTTTGAGATATAAAGGAAAAACGTTCGGCCCCTCTAGGCCCTTCTATTTAGGGGCCAGCCCCTTTTACAAGATATCATTTGAAAGATCTTAAAATTCTACACTTCTTTTGTTCTATATGTTTTAACAAAATATTTCCAGGTAAAAAGATATCGTAGAAAATGTGCTAAAAATTTTGAAATGCGCGATAGGACTATTTTCGGACGATAGCGAGAGTCGACGCTTCGTACTTCCGGTAGTTATGATATACCTAATACCCTTCTCTAAAGGTTGCTCAAGCATCACTGAAAATTTCATGCGGTTGTGTCAAGTGCTTTTTGAGAAAACTGCCGGACAAAGTGACCCTCTAAAAATGACAAAATCGCAGAAACTCCGAACCGGAAGTGACGCCATCAAAACGGAAAAAAAATGAATCGAGTTAAAGTAATGCTTCACTAGTCCTGAAAGTTTCATAGAAATCCATTGAGCCGTTTTCGAAAAATCGCGTGCACAAAATCGGTAAGAAAAAAAACAATAATAATAAGAAGAAAAGTGAAAAAGAAACCTAAGAATCACTAGAAGGTCTTCCGCTGAAGCCGGAAGACCTTAAAAAAGAATAATAATAGGTAAGAAAAAAAGTGAAAAAGAAACCGAAGAATAACAAGAAGGTCTTCCGCTGAAGACGGAAGACCTTAATAATAATAACTAGATGAGATCTCGTTGCGAGCAACGAGTAGGTCTTCCGTTCGATTTTGATAAGGTTATAAAACAACTTTAAATGAAAAACAGTGTTCAGATCAATTATTCAAAATACGTGAGAACACATTTAAGAGTAAAATCTATCAATTTCAAACAACTTCCGGTCTTTATAGTTCACTTCCGGTGTGACCGGAAGTACTTAAAATGACCTAAAACTCCTTTCTGAGTGTGAAGGAATCATCCCTGATAATTTCGAGCAAAAATGCTCATTTTTTGGACTACTTCCGGTTTGGAAAAAATTACTTCCGGTGGACATAATATTACTCGAGACACTCTATTTGCCTACATAAGAAAAATTTTAAAAAGAAAAAAATAAAATTTTGCATATTTTAAAACTACTTCCGGTGGACGACGAACGCAACGGCAACAAAAACCATATAGCCTTCTCAAATTTAAAAGTCATAATCTATCATCCCTGAAAGTTTCAGGACCCAATCTCCAACCATTTTCGAGAACACTCTCGGACAAAATGACACTTTAAAAACAGAAAAATGGCCATATCTCGCGACCGGAAGTGACGACGGCAAAAAAAAAAACGCGTGAAGTTCTAATTGTTTCCTATCATTGCTGAAAGTTTCATGAAAAACTGTCGAGGCGTTCTCGAGAAATCGTCTGCACAAAATCGGTAAGAAAAAAAAAAGAATAATAACTAGAAAGTCTGCTATTGCAAGCAATAGCATATGTCGCCCCGTACTGGACTTTCAATTTTATCATCACTAAAACAAAAGTCCATTAGCTAAGTTTGAACAAACATCGAGTTGTATCAGTCCTTTCCATTGGAAACGGAAGACCTTAATTGGGTACATCCCACTAATTATTTTTAGAATCGGTAGGAGAAGAAAGTAGTGCAGGAATTTTACAAGTTCCTAAATTTGCAGACTTGCATAAAGGAAATCTGGCAGATGTACTGAACTGAGCCTCATACTTGTTAATTGGCAGTAACATTCCTATCATAAAAGCTTGGGAAATGTAATTTATGAAGAAGATCAGCCGAATTATTTTGTGTATTGTAATGCCAGTGAGAACTCTGAAATTTCCCTCTTTCACTTTCATTTTAGAGGTTCTGCCGAAAAACGAATCTGACATGCCACCATCAATTCGAGCATTTCTGCATTGCAGAGAGCTGATGTTTGTTATGAGATTATAAATCATGTGTAAACTTTCTCAGTTTAGCGGAATCATGAACATTTTCGGCGAGATGAATGTTTTGTATACAGTGGCGATCAAGGCTTTGCGAACCTGCAGGAGCGGATCAAAGGATTTATGAATGAATAAAAACTATGGAAATGACGTACCAATTTTTTAATTTATACTTGCACTATCTAATGAAATGAATATACAAGTACTGTAAACCAACTTTTATTCGCGTGCGAGAAATTTTCGCGAAGTTCGCGAGAGCCTCGTCATCGCGAATATTTCTCGCCGCGAACAAATCCTTATAGTATATTTGTCTATTAAAACAGATGGTAAAAGGCTTGATCGCGAAAATTAATCGTCGCAAACTAGTTTATCCCTAGTAAATCGCGAAATAAAGTCGTCGCGAATAAAAGTTGGTTTACAGTAATAGATATGCAAGAAAACCCGAAATGATAATAAATGCAGCTGACAATCGTTAATTTTTTTATATAGATAAAATAAAATATTTATAAATTCAAGAGACAAAACAGAAGGAGAATGAATGATGGCAAAATATCACATGACGGGAACTGAATTTTATGAATGAAGATTTTAAAACGTTACTTGTAAGTTGTATATGTTATATCTGTGTATTCTACCTGGCTGTGTGCTTCAAAAGGGGGGGGGTCGTCTTGAACATAGTACATAGCCATAACGTTTGAACGGTAAGTACTAGGGCTTTCGTATTTCAAATATGTAATCCTTGTGAAAAGAACTTTTATTGGATACGACGAACTTTGACCCTTTGACCTAGACCTTGGAGAACACATGTGTACATCTGAATCTTTTTTTCTGTTCCGTTTCTATGGCAACTGTGAGCGACTCATTACAATTATTTTAAAAGTAGAAATCACTTTGACACATTGCAAGGAATAAACATTGAAAGTTTCAAAACGATTGCCTGCGTAGTTATTGAGAAAATCGAAATTAAAGAATTTTAATTTTCACCTGGTTTCCATGGCAATAATCGATTATTTGAAATTTTTAAATGCGAATCGCACAACTACAGATACTAATCATTAAAATAAGAAAAGTTTCATGACGAACGTTTAAGGGACCAGAGAGAACACTCTCGGACAAAATTTGTCGCTTTTTACAGGTTTCCATGGCAACGGTAGACATATTGAAACCGAACGACCTCACTGCACAACTACAACCAGTGATCGTCCTTTGAGGAAAGTTTCAGGAAGATTGTCCCAGCTGTCATGTATCTATAATTTACTAATTGACATTTTATATTCCGGATATCTATGTTCTGATTTATGATCATGTTTGGTTCTAAAAATAAAAATATAGTTGTTTCCGGTTTACAAATGGCTGCTTACATATGAACACGACATGGTGTCAGAAAGTGGCTGAAATCATATGTTTAGAGCGTCATCACAACTCGCAAAGTTTGCATTCCTCGACTTAATCACTCGAGAAAGAGAAATATGGAGTCTCTCATTGGCGCTACCCCGAAAATCGACTGGGAAAGTGGTGATCTTCCTGGAACATGGAAAAAATTCAAAGCTCACACAGAATTTATGTTCAACGGACCGTTGAAGAAAAATCCGAGGAAGAAAAATGTAACTACCTCATGATCTGGGAAGACGAAATAGGTAGGGATATTTACAGTACCTGGCACATAACAAATGATGAGAAAAAGAAACTAGAGACATATTACACGAAATTTCAGGCCTACTTTCAGCCGAAAAGTAACAAAGTGTTCTCAAGATACAAATTTCAGTGTAGAACTCAGCAAGAATATGAGACATGCGAAGAATTCGTTACAGTTCTAAAAGTTTTAGTGAAAGACTGTGGTTACACGAATCTGGATGAAATGATAAGAGACAGAGTAGTGTTTGGGGTACGTTCAGCCAAAATAAGAGAAAAGTTGATCACAACAGGAAGTGACCTGACGTTAGCACAGGCTATAGACATTGCGAATTTATATGAACTTTCGAGAGCTCAACTCAAAACAATGAATGAAGAACCTAAAGGAAATACCGTAGGTAATGTGACGAGTGAAGTGCACCGTATCACAGCAAAACAGTCGTTCAAAGGAGAACAATCAGACAATCAAAATTGTAGACAGTGTGGACATAGGAAGCACAAGCATGGTGAAAAGTGTCCAGCGATAGGCAAAGTCTGTTCAGGATGTGGAAAGAGAAACCATTTTGAACGTGTTTGTGAATCTAGTGCAACATATAACCGCACACGAGGTGGACATTATGCTCATAGAGGAAAACCAGCGCAGCGAGGAAAATTTCATGGAAAGCGTCCAGGAAAATCTTAGAGTCGCTCAGTGAACATGCCGGATGAATCCGACGAGAATGACTCGGACTGTCAAGATTCATTTTTCCTAGGAATGATCGACACTGGACATGTTGAAGTCAACACCATAGAAAATTGGATGACAACTTTACAGTTGAACAACACAGATGTACAGTTTCTCATGGATACAGGTCCAAAGTGTTATGTACTCACTAGAGACACGTATCACAAACTTAAGATGTCACCCCTAGAGAAACCGAAAGCTTCGCTAACATCTTACTCTGGACATAAAATCATAATAGATGGTATGACAACAATACCGTTGCAACATAATGGCCAAACTCATGCAGTAGAGTTTTGCGTTGTCAACAGAAATGAACAAACATTCTCGGAGCTGAGACTTGTTGTAAACTTGACCTACTGAGATGTATGAATTCTATTTCCTGCAAACTAGGATCTAACAAGGACAAACATCAGTCATCTGGAAAAGACATTTTGAGTGAACCTCAATATGCAGAGCTATTTGAAGGATTAGGATGCTTACCTGGACAGTACTCGATAAAGATTGATCCGTCGATCACACCTACCATTCATCCACCACGCAAGATACCCATCTCATTAAAAGACAAAGTTCATCAAGAATTACAGAGAATGGAATAGTTAGGAGTCATTGAACGACAGACAGAACCAACTCCGTGGGTGAACAGAATGACTGTTGTGAATAAAGGATCCAAAATCCGAATATGTATTGATCCCAGGGATCTCAACAATGCAATTCAACGTGAACATTTTCCATTACGAACTGTTGAGGATGTCATTGAGAATATGTCACAGGCCAAATACTTCACTAAATTAGATGCCGTTAGTGATTCTGGCATATCCAACTAGACGAAGTTAGTTTAAGACTTTGTACGTTCAACACACCATTCGGGCGATACCGATTCAAGCGTTTGCCATTTGGTATAAAGTCTGCATCCGAAGTATTCCAGAAAAACATGTCACACATGTTGGAGGACATTACTGGTGCAGAGGTCATCATTGATGATATTTTGGTTTGGGGATCATCGATTGAAGAACATGACCAGAGATTACGCCAAGTTTTACAGCGTGCGAAAGAGTATCACTTAAAGCTCAGTAGGCAGAAATGTGAAGTGCGTAAAACTGAAGTGAAATATGTAGGACAAGTACTTACCCAAAATGGAGTGAAACCGGATCCAGAAAAAGTGAGAGCTATTGTGATGATGCAGAAACCAGAAAATCGACAGGAACTACTTACCTTTCTAGGACTAGTTCAGTACTTAGGAAAGTTTCTTCCAAGAGTATCTGATGTAAGTGCATCACTACGCAAATTGACTGAAACTTCGTCAGGCTGTGAATGGAATTGGACAAAGGAACAAGATATCAGTTTTGAGACAATCAAGGCCATGATTACCAAAGCTCCGATCTTAGCATACTACAACCCAGGACTACCGCTAACACTCTCAGTGGATGCAAGTTCAAGAGGACTTGGTGCGACCATCTTACAACAAGGTAGACCCATTGCATATGCGTCAAGAGCACTGACAGCGTCTCAAAGAAATAACGCACAGATAGAGAAAGAGGCATTAGCAGTTGTCTTTGGATGTCAAAAGTTCCATCAGTACATCTATGGTAGATCAGTAACTGTAGAGTCCGACCATAAACCATTACAGTCCATTTTTCAGAAACTGCTCTTAGCAGCACCTTTGCGTTTACAAAGACTACTTCTAGCCGTTCAGAAATACGACTTAAAGCCTGGCAAACTTATGTTTGTTGCTGATGCTTTGAGTCGACACTATCTTGATGAAACCAGAGAAGAGTTGATACCTGAAGTTGATGTCAACAATATCACGCTCAACAGACACTTACCGATGTCACCTGATCGTTACAAGGAATTTCAACAAGAAACTTCTCAGGATCAAACATTACAACAGCTACTCAATACAGTACTGTTAGGATGGCCCAACACTAAACAGAGCTTACCATCAAACCTTCTTCCATACTGGACATTTCGGGATGAAATATCACATGTAGATGGACTACTGTTCAAAGGCAGTAAACTTATCATTCCAAAATCGATGCAGCAGAAAATGTTAGACTTGGTTCATGAATCTCATCTGGGTATCGTGAAGTGCAAGAGTAGAGCACGGGAATCTATATATTGGCCGGGCATGGCAGCACAAATAGAGGATAAAGTATCCCAGTGTATAACTTGTGCTGAAGTTCAGAATTCCAATCCAAAGGAACCAATGATGTGTACAGAGTTACCAGATCGTCCATGGTCCAAGATAGCATCTGACATTTTCGTATACAAGCAGAACCATTACCTACTCACTGTAGATTACTACTCGAAATGGCCAGAGATAATCATCTTAAAAGACCTTTCATCTCTACAAGTCATCAACTCGCTTAAAAGCATGTATTCCAAGTACGGGATTCCTGATGAGTTAGTATCAGACAATGGTCCTCAGTATGCGAGCAAGGAGTTCAAAGATTTTACCAAAGAGTATGGATTCACACATACAACATCTAGTCCATTGTATCCTAAATCTAATGGACAGGCGGAGAGAATGGTGCAGACTGTCAAGCGGCTTCTCAAGAAAAACACAGACCCTTACAAAGCGTTGATGGATTATCGCAACACAGAAATCCAAGGACTAGGACAGTCACCCTCACAGATGTTTCTAGGACGTCGTCTGAAAACAAACTTACCTATTGCAGCAGATCTACTTAGTCCTAAGGACAACAACATGCAGAAGAAACTACAAGCCAGACAGTTGCAGTACAAGAAATTTTATGATCGCACAGGAACTAAGAGTCTTCCGAATTTGGACACAGGAGATAACGTTATGCTACAAGATGGCAAAACATGGAGACACGCGACTGTGGAATCCAAACTACCACTACCAAAATCCTTTATCGTATCGTTTGATGGGAAAAAGTACCGTCGAAACCGCTGTATGCTGAAAAAGACGAATTCCGCAAAACCCACACAGGAAGTCAGTGAGTATTTCGATTTCCAGATTCCAGAGAGTAGTGCTGAAGAACATGTTCCGCTAAAGCAGTCTTCAGAGTCTCGCGAGTGCGCAAAACAAACTCCAGATGAAACCGTCAAAACCAGATCAGGACGTACTGTGAAAGTTCCATCCAAATTTGCAGACTATGTTATGCAACCAGTGTAAATGTAGTTTCATGTAAAATATCATGCATGTACATGTATATAAGTTTAATACCATTCAAAAGATTTTGTAAACTTCAAAGTTCAGTTCAGTCTTTACATGATTTCAATTTCAATACTCATTGACTGTTAAATGATTGCTTTGAAACTGATTAATTGTTAATTGATGTGATTATTGATTTAAAAAAGGGAGGATGTCATGTATCTATAATTTACTAATTGACATTTTATATTCCGGATATCTATGTTCTGATTTATGATCATGTTTGGTTCTAAAAATAAAAATATAGTTGTTTCCGGTTTACAAATGGCTGCTTACATGTGAACACGACACCAGCCATCTCCGAGAAACAGCCTGGATAAAAAAAACATGCGTACAATATCAATATGTCGTCCCCGACTTCGTTCGGGGCGACATAATAACTCATGAATTTTTCTCATCAATAACTCCTGAATTTTCCCCTTCAATTCGAGCATTTCTGCATTGCAGAAAGCTGATGTTTGTTATGAGATTATAAATCATGTGTAAACTTTCTCAGTTTAGTGGAATCATGTACATTTTCGGCGAGATGAATGTTTTGTATACAGTGGTGATCAAGGCTTTGCGAACCTGTAGGAGCTGATCAAAGGATTTATGAATGAATAAAAACTATGGAAATGACGTACCAATGTTTTTAATTTATACTTGCACTATCTAATGAAATGAATAATATACAAGTAATAGATATGCAAGAAAACCCGAAATGATAATAAATGCAGCTGACAATCGTTAATTTTTTTATATAGATAAAATAAAATATTTATAAATTCAAGAGACAAAACAGAAGGAGAATGAATGATGGCAAAATATCACATGACGGGAACTGAATTTTATGAATGAAGATTTTAAAACGTTACTTGTAAGTTGTATATGTTATATCTGTGTATTCTACCTGGCTGTGTGCTTCAAAAGGGGGGGGGGTCGTCTTGAACATAGTACATAGCCATAACGTTTGAACGGTAAGTGCTAGGGCTTTCGTATTTCAAATATGTAATCCTTGTGAAAAGAACTTTTATTGGACACGAAGAACTTTGACCCTTTGACCTAGACCTTGGAGAATCCATATGTACATCTTAACCTTTTTTTCTGTTTCGTTTCTATGACAACTGTGAGCGACTCATTACAATTTTTTTAAAAGTAGAAATCACTTTGACACATTGCAAGGAATTAACATTGAAAGTTTCAAAACGATTGCTTGAGTAGTTATTGAGAAAATCGAAATTAAAGAATTTTAACATTCCTCTGGTTTCCATGGCAATAATCGATTATTTGAAAATTTTAAATGCAAATCGCACAACTACAGATACTAATCATTAAAATAAAAAAAGTTTCATGACAAGCGTTTAAGGGACCAGAGAGAACACTCGCGGACAAAATTCGTCGCTTTTTACAGGTTTCCATGGCAACGGTAGACATATTGGAACTGAACGGCCTCACTGCACAACTACAACCAGAGATCGTCCTTTGAGGAAAGTTTCAGGAAGATTGTCCCAGCCATCTCCGAGAAACAGCCTGGATAAAAAAAACATGCGTACAATATCAATATGTCGTCCCCGACGGGGCGACATAATAATAATAGTGGAAAAGAAACAACAGAATCAGTAGAAGGTCTTCCGTTGGAGACGGAAGATCTTAATAATAACAAACAGAGTAAAAACAATATGTTCCCAAACTCCGTTTGGGGAAAATAATAATTTTAAATATAACTCGTAAGTTAAACAGAAAAAAAAACGAAGTGAAGCCTACAAATTAATAAAGGATGTTTACATTTGGTCGGTCTCTAACACTAAAAAAGAGGGGTTTTAAGTGTCACTTCATCATAAAAATAAGAGTACACTTCGAACACACGCTAATGTATTCATACTAATCGTACGCTTGATAGACGCACAATGACCTACGTAACCGTAATGGCGAAGTTTAACAGTGAAATATGCGACTTTATTCAATCGATATCATGTATATATTGTAAGTCAATCCTTTATTAGAATCTATACAGACTATACTTAATGTCTTTTGCTATAAGATAACAATATTCTAATTTAAAAGGGTAAAATTCTGCATTTAAAAAGGGGCGAGATTGCATTACATTTGAGAATATTCTCCAACGGTAATAGTGGCAATCCACAAACAATAAATTATTGTCCAAACTCCCGAGGGATCGGGTGCACTGATGCTATTTCAATCTTGGCCTAAATACTGTGTATATTGTATTGAAAATATTGAAAAGGTCAGTGAAAACAGAAGGATATACACAGGGATCTGAGTGTCACAGTCATAACGCCTGAAGATGTACAACAATAAACATGTCTTGAGCAAATAAAAAGCATATTCTCAGATATGAATTCGGCAAATAATGTTTAGTTATCTTCACAAAGGTTACTGTATAATTCTGACGTTGTACACGTAATATCTTGCAATAGAAAAAGCATTTCAATCGGACTCTTGAAATGAGGACAAATAATGACTTGTATGACTGTGTTCGAGCATTTGGACGGAAAATCCCAGTGGCTGTTCACAAGAAAATAATTTTTTTCGAAAACAGACTTTAGACTGGCTGATTCAAATTCTATTTTTAAATAACGTCATCTAAAACACCAGGGTCTATGAATGACTGAGAAAAAAGCATAACAAACAAAAATTTAAATCAAATTAGTATTTACTAATTCACGTTCATTAGAGTATTGTAGATATTTGTGTATCATGAAGGCTTTTTTATGCTTAATTAGTTAATCTGTTAGTCTGAGAGACATATGTAAAATTTCCCTAAAACAGTGTCCAAATGTTAGTTTTGCATATGAAATGTAAGTTTAGCTGCTAAAAAAAGAAGACTAGAGTATAAAGTTAACTCAAAATATTCCGCTTTGTTATTTTTTTCCGAAATGCAAATTTCTCTAAAAACCCGCCAAACTTTGGCCTGCCTAATATATAATCTTTAACATGTATTTTTTTCATAAGTTACTTTAGTCTATCTGAGTGATATCAGAAACTCCATCTTTAACTATAAGCATAAAACACAAGTAATATACCCCTCGAATAAAAAGACATTTTAACAAGCAAAGATTGAAGTTTCTCAAAGGCAAGCCAAACTCCAACGTCAAGTTTAAAAGGTCAAAATTGTTGGTTTCCAAAGTAAGGTTTTGTCGCCAGTAATACAGCTATACAACTATGACATATGAAAGCGCTAGTACGTACTACCTTAATTTAAAAAGTTATAGCAATGGCTAAAGTTTTTAAATAGGATCAAACAGTAAGGTCAAGATAACAAGAGGCCAATGGGCCACATCGCTCACCTGAGAAGCTTTGACCATTGTGTTCTTTACCAGATATTTTCCTTGTTATACATTATGCATCCCCACCCTACCTCACTGATCATAATTTAGACATTTTGAAATCTACACTATCCCATGATCCTTCCATGGGCACATATGTTTCAGCTTTTTTGGCCCAGTGGTTCCTGAGAAGAAGATTTTCAAAGATTTTTCCTATATATTTCTATATAAAACTTTGATTCCCCATTGTGGCCCCGCCCTTCCCCCGGGGGTCATGATTCCTACAATTTAGAATTTACACTACCCCAGAATGCTTCCACATAAGCTTCAGCTTTTTCTGGCCCAGTGTTTCTTGAGAATAAGATTTTCAAAGATTTTTCCTATATATTTCTATATAAAACTTTGATTTCCCATTGTGGCCCCGCCCTTCCCCCGGAGGTCATGATTTGAACAATTTAGAATCTACACTACCCCACAATGCTTCCAAATAAGTTTCAGCTTTACTGGCCCAGTGGTTCTTGGGAAGAAGATTTTTTAATGACCCAACCCTATTTTTGTCTTTTCTTGATAATCTCCCCTTGCGAGGGGATATGTTCCTTCATTTTAACAATTTAAATACCCTTCACCCAAGGATGCTTTGTACCAAGTTTGTCAAAATTTGCCCATTGGTTCTTGAGAAGAAGTCGAAAATGTGAAAAGTTTACAGACGGACAGACAGACAACGGACACAATGTGATCAGAAAAGCTCACTTGAGCCTTCGGCTCAGGTGAGCTAAAAAGTCCAAAAAACGTATCCCCTTGAAGGGTCTTTTCAAAATGATTACACACGTGAATCAAAACAACATTTAGGTTGGAAAAAGAAAAAAGAATTGTTACATTGTATTGAAGATATCTGATTAAATGTTGGTTACATATTACTCGATTGTATATATTCAAAAACCTGTACAAGCTCAATTAACATCCATTCATCATTAATTATCTAACGTAAAATTAATAATATAGTCATGTTAAATTAATTCTGACAAAATTAGCTGTATAGATCTTTGCCCTAACATAGCACCCCTTATTTAGGGGTCATGAAATCCATGATTTTGGAACAGACAAATCTCCACATCACAACTGTGAATTATTTTGGTTTATTTTATACTAAGGAGCAGAGAAGATTTTTTTTCAAAGAAATAATGCATCTTTTCTATATTATTTATACAGCCAGGATCTAGCACAAGAACCACTGACCCGGGGACAATGAAATTCGAAATTTAGGTAGAAGACTCAAAGCTTATTGCAATCATGTCAACAGATTGACAGCTTGACATTCAGAAGTAAAGAAGATTACATTCTATTTAGTGGTTTTTCCTCCACCATGAAATTTATTTTATGTTCCCCTTCACCAATAGTTGCTATAATAGATGCTATAATGATATGCCCAATTGGTTGAAATTATTTGGGCTTTTTCGGGGATGATTGATTGAATGTTTATATATTGTTTAACGTCCCTCTCGAGACTTTTTCACTTGGAGGCGCCACCTCTTGTCTGTGGAAAGCTGCAAATGTTGTCCTATACTCAAGACTCGGGGCGATTGAGCAGGAAGGGGTCTTTATCGTGCCAGCACTAACTACGACATGGGGCATTAGTTTATACGGTTTCATCTAAAGAACTGGTCTCCACGTACCACAGTGGAATACAAACCCTCG